AATAGGAGATGGCACAAAGTCAGGAGTGCTGAGACAGAGGATGCCGCAGCGGTCAGAGGTTCGGCACCACGAAGGCGGGGTCCGCAGGCTGTGGGGGGACGAGAGGAAGGCCTGAAAGCAGCCCTGAAAGGAGGCGAGGTTTCTGCCACCAGTGAAAGGTTCGCTGCAGTATTAACAATCCTCTCTAAGGCCCCTCTGTGCCACTTCAACAAGCCACTGGCATAATTTCATGTATTCTGTCTTGCAGCGTTAAATATCGACGTCTGCTGGTCACTGCCCCTGTGTATCTGCCGTTTAGTGAGACCCTCCCTGTCAGCCCTGCACCGAGCTGCAATAGCTAGCACAAGGCAGAGCCCAGACGGCTTCTTCCTGTGGGTTCAGGCTACCTGAGGTCAGGGCAGGGGAAGGGGCCGACCGGAGGCAATCGATTCAGTGTTAGAATGATAAACGCTATTTTAGTTATCAGAAGATGAAAATGTTCTTCAATAAGGATTCTCCCGAGGACCTGCTGGCATCTTCTGCTTGTACACTCGGCCCTTTCACAGAGCCCACCTACCCTACCACTTTCTGGCCTTGGCTTCTCACTTCTGTCCTCACCTCCAGTGAACTGCTAGAAAACCACCTCGATCCCAAAGGTTCAAGTGCAAATGCTGGGGATCTGATGGATCGCTCCACCTGCTCCACTGCACCTTTTTGGTCAATCCCGAGAAGGATGAGAGAAGAGGAGAAAAGGCAGCTGAAGAGCAGAGAGCATAAGCCACACAGGGGGGTGCTCGGGGCCCTGACACCACTCTCACTCACCACGAGCGGGTTGGGGTTTCAAATTTTACTCCTAAGAAAGGTCAGATTTCCTCAGCGACTGTTCTCGCTCGTGACCTCTCTCCTTAAAGACATGCTGTGACTCGGAGAGCCAGCGAATGCGCCGCTTCTGTCCCAGGCTTGCTCTCTTGTAGTTACTGTGAGACCATGTTATATTTTTGTCTTTTAAAAAACTGTGGTGGGAAGGAAGACAGACAAGTGTCAGCTCACAGGTAGCTGAGTCCTTCCAGATTGCTCACTTTCCCCTGCCCTTCCTGGGACTTGCAAACCCCAATAAAACGTCTTACCTTGCACCAGTGGGAAATTCTGTTGTTTGAAAAGCATTCAAGATCCCCCTGCTGCCTACAGAACAAATGCACACCCGGACCACACTGAAAGTCCTAAATGATCTGATGTCAATCTCTGTCTGTAATCTTGTTGTGGGGCAGGACAGATTTTTTTTTCCACAGTAAGGTTGTTTAATCACAAGAAAACCAAAATCTGATACCCTGCAGAGAACAGGTGATAAGCCAGGAAATGGGTAAAGTGTTGGAGGGACACGTTGGAGGGGAGAAACCTGGGGTCTGACAAACACCGGCCTGTTTGCTTTTCTTATGTAGCTTGAGGGGAGATGAGAGGACGATGAGCAAGTGAACTGCAAGAAGGGCAAATCGGCAAAAGTAGGCTCTTTCTGTTTTAATCAGACCAGATCAGCTCAGGCCTGAGACTTCAGGTTTGAGAATGAGGGTACATCCTGGTGGTGATGACTCATCACCGTGACGCACAGAAGGGCAGCAAATGGAGAACTGCTGGGATATGGATGGGCGGCAGATTCTCTGCAGAACCGCAAGGAGAACTTAAATAAAGTTCAATAAGGAAGCTTTTTTCTTGAACGAGAGGCAGGGTTGGAGTGTAGCAGGGCCGGTAGGATGCTGAGTTGAGTGTGGCCTCGACTGTTAAGGTCCCTGCCAAAGGCGTTGGGAAGAACAGCCATACGCGGTGATGAGAAGATGCTGGAAGCAGATGTGTGCTAACATTCTGGAAGTTCTTGCGTAAAATGAGCCGCTTCACTTGGCTGCTACAGCCAGGTTTTCAAATCACCTTTTGTAACCTTTCATGAAAACAGTCCTATTTTAAATGACGATATTAAAAATCAGAACTGCCCAAGGAGGAACAACGCAATGTGTAAACATTGGACAATGATACACGTGAATCACCTCAAAGTAAAGCTTTCAGCACAAGAAAGGCCTCTTCCCTTCCTGGGTGGCAGCGGGACCTGGGAGGTTGCAGAGCAACGCTGAAGAGTGATATGGTCCCAGGGAAACCTACTTCTGACTGCTATTGCTAGGCTAGACACTGCCCCCAACCCAGAAAAAATTCTAGTTCTCATTCTTTTCTATGTGCCACTGAAAGCTGAAAATGGGCTCCCACCCGGTAAGATACTGTACGGAAGTTATTTATCAACCTCCTCATTATAAAGTCAGTAGGAATGAATGAATACATAAATAAATGCATAAAGAAATCAAAGTGTTGGGTTAAACTTACATATCCAAAAACATTTATACCGTGAAGAATGACTGACACAGGAGATAAAAACTAGTTTCACCAAAATAATTCCACTAATAACTCAACAAAATAGACTAAATCCAAAACATGGCAGTTTTCCAGAAATGGATGAGTAAAATTTCTGGTTTCTCTGACTACAGACAGCATATGACTTACGATTTACACAAATGCCTCCTTTTTTTTTTTTTAAAAAAAAAGGTTCTTTCTTTTAAAAAATAATACTCATCAGCTTGAAATTAAAAAAAAAATTACTTCCTTAACACACAATATTGTCAGTGAACCACTGATTTCAATTCTAAAAAATGAATTTCATTAACACGTTTTCTAACCACTCCCCTCCCCATTCACCCCCCAAAGACTAAAGATCATCGGTGCATTTCTTTTTGGTATAGAATTTTTTACTTATTTATTTTTAGTATTTTATTCAGTATTAAAAAAAGGGAAGTCACTTAACACATATGGGATAGGAGAAGTTGTGTTGAGCAAGAGATATCTAGGACAACTCTGGTTTTGTGAATCTCAGATTGTGACCCTATAACCAGGGGTGTGTGAGCCCAGCATTTTCGTACTTTAGTGACTCCTCTACAATCATCCTATTGAAAGCATACCATAGTACATGAAATATTTCATAACAAAGCTGGGATCTGCTCGAAAAAGTCAGAAATAAAACATTCATAAAGTTCAAGACCAGCACTTGCAGTGTAGCATGAAGGCACACTGGCTACGACTATCACTGCTGGTCATCATTTTAAGTAAACACAGTGTCATCCAATCACGGCGGAGTAATAATATAGGAGAGGGCTGCCATGAAGATTTATCAGATTTGCATTCATGGTAGGAGGTTGGCAACACTGGTTGAATTAATTACTGTAAACAGGGAAAATTCGATTGGCTCAGAGGTATTAAGAGGGAGATCAAATGCTAAATTGATGTGGGAATTACATTCTGAGTATTGTGCGACGCTATTCATTCTTCTGAAACAAGGGAGTTTTATGTTCAAAATTTGTTAACCTTCTAATTCCTTAAAGAAAGTTAAGACAAGCACCTAAACTATCTGATAAGCATATGCATTGAAAAGACTGTGATTCCAGCACGTACATTTTAGATCTAAGAAGATACAAAGAGATGAAAAACGCAACCTTCATTCTAGATCACTGAATGTCACAAAATGAAACTATGAGGTGCTAGCAAGCATTTAATTAAAAACCAGGGGTATGAAAACAAAATAAAGAAAATGGGGTTTCTTAAAACAGTAAGTCACATAATAAGTTATTAAAGAAGGGTAGGATAATGAGAGCAATCCATCAAGAGAAAACTAACACAGTGACACAGTATACGATAAGGCACTTCTCCAATTCCTGACTGCTTTAGGAGAGTATCCAAAAAAGGACTGAAGACATCACTGCTGAGACAAAACATCTGATGTAAGAAATAGTCAATGCTCCGGCAGGTCAGCGGAGATGAGATTAGACCTGGGAGAGCCTGGCAACCGGACCCCTAAGTCATGTCCAGCTGGGGACTGTCTGGTGGCTCAAGTGGTTTGAAGAACTTACAATGCCTCTCAGCTCTGTGGTTCAAAAGCCAATCAGGTTTATCCGGGGAAATGAGTAAAGATTTAGGAAGGGGAAACAAAGTGACAGCAATCCCCAGAATTCTGGCCAGAAGCACATTATTTGTGGGGAATGAAGGACAAAGTTGTCTATGAAAAGAATGAATCCAGAAAAGGAATGAGCTTAAAGGAAGGAGAGAAAGGAGCAGGCAAAAAGGAAGACACAGTGACCACCCCCACCATACCATTTACCTGGGAAAAAATTATGCTATTTTACTTAAAATGGCTGTAGCAGAATGCAGAGCTATTTCCAAATAAATCCCCTCAGACGTTATACACGCTATTACGAATCTTCTGCCATTTTCTTAGTCTTGTCCAACACAGAAATTAAAATTGCATTCCATAGACACGTTATAAACATATTTATTTTTATATAAATTTGGGAGTTCAAATTTAAGCACTGGGAGAAAATAAAGCTCATTTCCATGTTCTGGATTTCATTTTAAAATACCTCATAAACAGAGCTTTAGATAGATGCTTATTAAAATACCACTGGATGGCAGGGCGGGTGAGAAGGGACACGGTGGTGCCAGGGCCGGGGGGAGGGGGGAGGCCCGAATCCTTGGCCTCTTTCCCTTCTTCCTTCTCTGGCCACAGACCCCATGAGTCTTCAGTCAATTCCAACCCACCTGACTTTCCACTTTGCCTTATTATTTCCCTTCCATGACAACGTATCTTCACAAAACAAGCAGAACAGCCTTATTATTTTTAGTAAACCCAACTTCTTCATTTTCTTTTTCCTTCAATTTTCTCCTACTATGAATTCAACTACTAATGCAATTTAAAACAGCAATATCAGCAGTAGACTTGGCTACACCTTTTACCAAAATTATGGTGAAAACAGAGAAATTAGGCACTTTCATGCCATATATCCATGGAATTGTTCCTTTTTCATCACTAAGGAAGTAGAGCTGAGCCAGAGACTGATGTGGTTAAAAGAATGTTGGAAATAACTGAATATGACCCATCATCTATGTTTTTCCTAAAGCTTCTTCAGAAGGAGGGGGGGAGGAGAAATCACACTTACAAGTCCACTTATGGCTACAATCCAGATGTAGGAACCAGAGGTGAAAAGCTATAAAAGAAAAAAAAAAGGTAACTAAAAATGAAATCCAACTGCCAATCATAGCATACTTATTTTTATATCATAGAACTATAATCATAGTCATTAACGTTAAATATTAATTACATATAACAACACAAACAAAATAAACATAAATTCTGCTATTTAAGAGAAAATAATACATTAATTTTCCTTTTTTTTTAAACCAAGTTCTCAACCTTTCTAGAACCTAAAACAGATTAGCTGAACTTGCCCGCTCCTGTGCAATGACAAGTAAGCGAAATTTAAGGTCTGTTTTATTTATAAAAGGGAATTCATTGATTTAAACAGCGTGAAATACCACATGTAAAAAATTTCCAGAAATCAGCAACATACAAAAATATGTAGTCACCATCCCATGCTACAAAATACGCAGTCACCATCCCATGGTTGTTCAGTAATGAAATATACAGCAGCTTCCATAATTTTCTCGTTTTGATTTCTGATCACTATTACTCAGATTTAGCCAGGAAGACTTCAGGGCACACTGGCCCCCGTGCAGTGCTACTCGTGCCTGCTGACATCCTCTTTCCAGTTTGAGCAAACAGATGGTTTCAAAGTCAATGCATGGCAGGCAATTAGAATTAGGTCTCATGAAAGCTCTGTTTTCCAGATTACTTGTGTCCGGGACCTGTCCCGAGCTACCTCCAAGCACTCCTACCAGGGAGGCAAGGGCTGCAGCGAGCGGCCTGCTGTATGTCCCAGTGAGGAGGGTTGGGTGTATGGGGACGTGGGGGGTGGTGCTTGTGCCCCAGCAGCAGGACCCCCAGGTACATTTCTGACATTGTAGAAGGTGAAACCTCAGAGTTCTACAGATTCATCAAAGACAGACACCAAAGGTAAGAGGTGACACAGCATGGGGGGAAGGAACCGACACGCTCTGATGCTGGCTCTCGAGGTAGCACTGGCTCTGACTTCAAATGCAATCCCTTGACCTAAAATGTAACCCTTCGACCCAGCAGGTGTTCTTGTTTAGTGTAAATGACTGATAATCACGAGGGTGAGAATTATGTGGAAAAATATTTTGGGGCCATTTCCTTCTAGAAATATAATGGATAAAATGGCCAATACTTTCACGGTGCTCAAGCGGGAGTCTCAATGCCGGCCACATGTTAAACTCACTGAATCCTCCGATTCACCCCATGAGGGGAGCTCCATTATTGAACTGAAAGGTTATGTTATCTGCTGGAGGCCGGAGGCCTGGTGGGTGGTGGCTGCATACCCGAGTCCAGCCTGGGCTTACTACAGCCCGTCAGGCTGCTGCGTCTCACATAAGTGAAGACGAGTGTATCGGTTAACCCTGTCAGGAAAAAGTGACTTCCCTTGGACCTGCACAGCCCTCTTATTGCATTTCTGGTGCTGGCTGTGTCTGCTCTGCATGTGGAAGGGATGCTGCTCCCCGCTAGGTGCTGTGAGCACATCTAATTTTGCCTTCCGCAGCCCCTAGCAGGGCGTGGCTCTTAAGCCATTTATGCTCAAATGACCCTTCACAAACATTTTTGCTCTTGTGGTGATAGCTGAAGTCATTTATTCAACCACTCATGCATCCCATGTTCCTGACTTCAGAATGCTGTGGTGGGGAGTGCAGAAAGGCATGGAAATATTTGTATGTGAAGGTCCAGCAGGAGGGAAGGGTGGAGAGCAAAGAGGCTCTGAGGCTGCTGAGGGGGAGGGTTGGGAGTGGTGCTGGATCAGCAACCCAGGCACCACTCATCTGAAAGCTTAGATTTTATCAAAAAGTCACTGAGGCAGCTCCATCTCCACTGTCTGGTATCTACTACTAACACACACACACACACACACACACACACACACACACACACACACACACACACACACACACATATTATACTCACAATCTCATAAAAACCAATTGTGGAAGAGACATACATGATGAAATTAATAAAAGCAACTAACTGACTTAGTTTTTATCGGCTCAGATTATACTGAACACTCAACATATCGCTGAGCCTTTGAATGAGCCAGTGAGATAGATATCGGAAGCCTCGAGGGACAGACAAAGCAAATGATTGGCAGGGCAAGCAGCCAGAGTTCCCTCAGCTCCAAAGACTCCATCATAAACTGAACAATGTTCTTTGCGCTAAGATGCTGTGTCACGAGGAGCTGCAAGGAGCCGCAGTGTGAACGTGAGGGTCACAGGGCATCCGTGATGTGGCCGAGTCTTAGCGAGAGAGTGCCATGGCAGAGCCGGAGCTTGGGTCTCCTGGCCAACGTCCATTTTGTTCTGCTTTGGGTTGTTAACATCTTTTAACAATATTGAACATGCCACAGCAAATGCTAGTAATGAGAATAAACGGCAGAAACGGGCTATGAGCTCCCGTGACAACTGGGGAGGAGAAAGGGAGAGTGTACCGGCGTGCAGGTTGAGAAACCAAGGACAATTTCATGAGAAACGGTTGTAAAAGTGATAAGGAAACACCCACCCCAGATGAGCCAGTGATAACACCCAGCAGCAGACTAGAGAAGTTGGAGGAAATGCTAAAGGTTAAAAGGGGATGGGGGAGCGCATCTGACAGCGACACGGGTATCCGGTGTGATGTGTGTGGGATAAGGAATGTTCTGAGCATGAAGAGTGGATTAAGAGGCTGAGCTAACGTGGAACCACAGGAAACAACAGACTTAAACTTGACATCAAAAGGTGTGAGAGCGAAAGAAAAGTGACAAGTGTTACAGGTAGAAAACTCAACGGCAAGCGGGTCGTCCACCCCCAGGCCTGGAGCCCAGCAGAGAGTGACCGATGGGCACTGGATATTGGAGAAGACGGTCTCCTTTCATTTAAGTCAGATGACAAACACTCTACTGGTCTTCAGGTCCAACGCTTTAGCAAGCAGTGAATATCCAGGCCGTGCGAGTCGTGAAGTTGCCAGCGCTTCTAGCAAACCCCAGGGCTCGGGCTGCTAGGCTGCACCTGGTTTCTTCTTCAGAGCTTTATTCTTGGGAAACTGTATTCACTAAATTAATTTCTACAGCAATTTTCCACTCTCCACCTTTTGACTATCCTCCTTTGTTTCCACTTCATACTGTGATTTTTAAAAAGCAGTTACACGCAACTGCATGATGAAATTAAAATATTTTCCACTGATACAAATTACAGCGAACACTCTTATCAGATTTCTGAAGGCCATGAGAGTATTCTAGTACCGTATATGCCCCGATGCTTTTGCTCTGTAACACTTCCTTTGAACATTTGATAGAGATCACGAAGCCAAACTCATGGGAACAAAACATTGTTTTCAAGGAGATCAAATGAGAAAAAGACAATCCCCCCCACACACCAAAAAACCCCAAAAGGTCTGGTTAAAGAAATGTGAACAATAAAAACGCGTACTGTACCTGCAGTCCCAGGATATAAATCAACGTCTTGTTTGTGATGGACAGTGGGCCCAGAATTTGTGCCACCTGGACTCTCGGAATGGAGCAGTAAAACGGCACAAAGAGAGCAAACACAGGTGCCAGGCTGTGCAAACAAACAAACAAAAATTAGAAAGGCATGATAAATGACAACGCCAACAGTAAATGTGAACTTGGGGGAGCGCGGCTTAAAATTTGACCTGTCTGAAAAAGCATGATCTTACACACACAAGTGGGTTTCGATACCTCACACCCAAAATCCTTTCTACTTCTGTAATGTTGTATGAAAACTCTGATCCTATCACCAAGAAGTGGTTCCACGTGTACTAATAAAATGCCAGGCATTGTAAGAAAAGTTAAAGTTGCTGCTACGTTTTCTTCCCATGAACATCTTCACAGCTAAAGAAAGGGACGCGACCACAGAGGACACGTCATCCTTGATCACCGCCGGGTCCCGAAGCTGCCTTGCAGACCGAGCCGCACCGCTCACCAGCCCTGCTTTCCCTTCCTCAAATGCCTTCCTCCTTTTGTCCTGGACCCTGTTTCAGGCTGGGTTTCCTACAACTGCTCACACCACCGCCCCTTGCCAGGGTCCCACAACCGGCTCTTCTTGCATGACTAAGACGACCAGCCAGTCCCCCGCTGCCCACATGGCCCCACTCGGTCAGGAGTCATCCATTCCTTCACCCCGACCTGTTCAAGTCACAGGTGTCTCTCTACTGGGGCCCGCTGCCTCTCCAGTCCATCTCTCCACACTGCCAACTCTGCTCCTCATGAAACGGCGCTGAGCAGGTCACACCATCTAAACCTTCTTTCCCCAGCTGCCCGTATCCAAAGGGGAAACCGAAATGGCAGCATGGAATACCAAGCCTGTGACTCTTTCTCAGCCGTCTAGTTCCTCACACCTGGCCTGCTCCCCTCGAAACCCAGCCCCCACAGGCGCTCCCCAGGCCCAGCAGCCTCAGACACCCCGAGTAGCAGCCTCTCACCTTCCACGCCCTTCCCATGTCTCAGCTTAGCCCACAGCTCAGCCCTTCCAGGCGCTGCTCCGCTCCTCCTGGGGGGAAGGCGCCCTCTTCTTCACCCTGGAAGCTGCCTGGCCTCGGTGTTTCTGTGAACAGTCCTTAGAGGGGGCCAGCCAGATCCAGGGGTCCCACCGCCCCCTTGGCAGAGCAATGCCTCGCTCAGGGGCAGAGAGGCTTGGACACACACCTGTGCCCACCCGGCTAAGTCACTCACTCTACCCTCCACCTTCCCTCTTTTGGAGTGCGCAGCATCAGTACCATGAACTTTTATTTTTTAAAAAGATTTATTTATTTATGCAAACACTGGGGTACAGACCAGAGGCATGGGAGGGTGAGAGAATCCACCAGAGACAGAGTGGGGAGCAGAACTGCCAGAAGGACCTAAATACACACTGCTGAGGGGAGCAACAGGTGAGACAGGAGAGGTCTGCTGTGCCATGTGGGTTTCTCCCCGACCGGGCGGGAATCGAACCACCGCCGTGGAGGCTGCGACAGCTTCACAGTGCTGCACTCAACCACCTGTGCCACCAGGGAGGCCCCATGAACTCTTTCTGGACATAAGAAAATCCAAAAAAATATTCTCCACTTCTACCAAGAAATGGCCTATCATGTTCTGGAAACACGGCGCCCTCTCAGCCTTGTGTGGATTTTCCCATTTTTAAAAGACCGTTAGTAAAAACTCATTCACTGTCCTCTCAGCTCTACCGTGAGCAAGGCGTGTGCACACACGGCCACTGTGGTAAGTGGTTGCAGCGACGCAAACTCCAACAGGGACCACCTGAGTGCAGGGCGAGGGCAGCGCGGCTTCCTGCGTGCTGGGGGGTGTGAGGGACATAGATGGCACCTCATATCAGCTGCGGAGGCGCCACCACTCGCCTGGTCCCCCACTCCCCAGACTGGGCGCACCCCACACCCGGCCCAGCCAGGGAAGGAAAGGCGACCTCTTCATTCCCCTAACATCTGCCACACAGCCTGGCCCAGCAAGGAGCTCGCTGACTGGGGGGCGATGGCACAGACCTTACTTGCCCACCGGCGCGTGATCCACACCCTAACTGTGTGGGGATTTGTCAGAGCGCCCCTGCATGGCTACTCAGTGTTGCAGACCCAGAGCCTGAGACAGGTCCTTCCACACAATGCGTCTGCTGAATTTTTTTTTTTAAATGAACACAGCAATTTTAATGGACTTGCCGTTCTGAATATTACACAGAAGAATAGCACACAGAACCCAAGCATCACTCAACAGCTACGTGTTCTCATTCAACGGTACAAGTGTGTCCCTGCTGGGCTTATATTCCTCCAGTGACTCCTCAGTCATTCCAGAGACCCACAGGGCTCTGGGTGCCCCCAAACCTGCCCTGAATGTGCTCTTGCCCACTCGGCAGCGCCCATGGGTGCCCCTCTGCTCCTGCCCTCTCCTGGCCGCCTTTGCCAGACAGACTCTGCATCAGGCCGTCTTCACGCGGAGAGCAGTCCGCCCTGCTGCCCCAACCCAGGTGCAGCCCTCCCGCCCCCAGCCCACCCCTCCCCCACGGTGCACTCCCCATTTCCTCTCCCCAGAACCCCTATCACCTTCTCATCTACTACGCACCTAGTTTATCGAGTCTCCCAGATCAGAATGGAAGCCCTATGAGGGTGGGGATTTCTGTGGGGCTTTTTTCCATTTTGTCCCATTGTCTAGAACTGTGCCTGATGCTGTGGCTGCTCAATAAATGTCTGAATAAATGATTTTCTCTTTAAAATGGTATAACCAAGCAGCAGAGTCTGCCTTTTATTGAAAAAATCCTTCCTCTCGTTTTTTATGATTTTTAATGGGATTAAAACATATGGTTTCTTATAAGTACTCAAAATATAGCCTGTTGGTCTCTTGGTAATAATAAGAAAACTCTTTCGGTTGCACTTGAGAGGTCTCGCCACAGAACATGTTCTTTCAGGGACTGAATTTATAGAAGACCTAGTTTGCATTCAGCAAACAAGTGTCAACAAGGATGTTACAAAAAAATATCTGAAGCAGCGTTCTTGTTTGAGGCTACCTTTCAAAAGAGTCTAAGAAAATACTGGTAGGAATTTTAATGACCACAGCTCATGTCTTATATGCCAATAGAAGAAGTTTAAAAATTCCTTAGAAGTTAATGATCATTGTGAAGTTTTTAAGTGATGACTAAACACTAGACCACACAGACCTATAACACAAAGGCAAACATTTCAGACACTGGTTATAGAGGTTGTTTTGTAGAAATTTTCCATTGCTATTTCTATACACACAGACTCCACAAAATATGACAACGTTATTAGTCATTGACTAGTTTTTTTTCTTTTCCTTATTTTATGACAATGTCTGTTCCTTACACTGTCAACAGTAATTCAGCTTGACCCCTCTCCTACTGTGAACAGCTAATTTCTGGAAGCCCTAATCTGGCTTCAGCATTGAAGCGCAAGTAGAGAACAGAGAAAAATTGGTTAATAAAGAATTTGTTCATTCCCTCAACCAATGTCATTGATATTTATTGAGTATCAACTACACATTCATGATTGTAATTGACAGGACAGGTAACACAAACTGTCAGCTCAGGCCACACACGTCCAGCCCACCTCTTCTACAGAAAAGGATGCTGACTCCACTTTATAATCAGAAAAATCCTGGTAACTTTCAACAGTGATAAAGTCACGACATGACGTCACATAAACGTCACCAGCACCTGGAAGGACAATTACCCTCTCTCATCCCTAGGGCTGGTTTGCTAGAACATTTGCTTTATCAGGCTGAGGTCACTGTACAGCAATGTTTTACTTAATAATTACTATTTCAAAAATTAAAAAGCGAACCCCCACAGGATGGTCTTTAAACAAGCCGAAAACTCGCCAGTGGTGACTTCTTCGTCAATCCAAGGTTAGGTGAACTAGTTTTGGAATACTTTATCATATTTACCCACCAAATCATCAAATCTCTCTATATTCCCCCTCACAGAATTTTTATACTAGTAATGATCTTGGTGATTTTTTTTAGCTCATTACCTTTATTTTATAGAGTGAGGTGGAGGGCCAAAGGACTCAGGTGAGTTGTGGATCTTCCGGTTGACAAGAACCCCAGCATTTTAGAAGCGAGTGGGCTTCTAAATGTAGCAGTATCACGACAGGCTAAAACCACAGGCCATTCTGACAGAATCCTGAAGGAGAAGGGCCTCTGAGGCCACTGAACTACAAATGATTCAATTCTCTCCACACGGGCCCCCACACAGCCATCTCACTTAGGCGAGCATGTAAAAGAGAGATAGCTTACTCTTTCACCACCCCAACTTTTGAGAACAACATGGGTATCTGGTTTGAAATCTCTCTCCAGGAACTTCCTCTTCCTGACCGTCCTTCTATTCTCTGTAGACAGGAAGATTCCCATGTACTACCTGCCCTCGTCCCCGTAGACAGCTTCCAAGTGCTCAAGGCCGAGGTGTGTGTTCCTGCTATGGCTGCACGTCCTCAGTTTCCCCTCTGATTCCTCCTGAGACTTAGGTGCAGACCCCTCAACCCTGGGGCCTGCTCTGAGCCACCTCTGCCCATCACCAGCCACCTCTGCAGTGCCCGGTGCTCAGTGGGATGGAGACCAGGCCAGACGCCTGTAAAGAGTGCCTCTCCTGCTCTGAGCGCTTTCCTTCTAGTCATTTAGCCTCCAAATAAATTTCATTTTGGGAGCCATGTGACTTGGTTGGTTTGAAAAGAGCCAAACTAAACAGAACTACAACTCTATGACTCTGATCAGCAGAGGTCCCCGTCGGTGTGTGTGCCGAAGACTGGACTTGGCGGGAAGGGCCTCCACCCACTCTTATGTGTCCCTGCAGTTCCCGATTCAGTTCCCAGTCGGGCAGCTCCTGCCTGAAGACATGGGCCACTCCGTGCATAACCCAAAGCGTGTCTCTTCCATTCAGCACAGAAACCAAGGCCTCGTTGGCATGAGCTGTTGACAGGCCACGGAACCAATAGCTACACCAAGTTTACAGGGAGCCAGAATTGTCAATGCTGGCATTTGTTTCCTTAAAAACATGTCTTAAAACCATACTTTTAAACAGAACATGGATACAAAATCATATGTGACTATAATTTTTTTTTTGGTTCTGGCTAAGGCTTAATCCTTCAGTCTCTTTCAAAGAATTTTTTTAATACTTAAATCTTTGCAGAAAAATTTATAAAGTTCCATAGATATCAGCAATGCATAAATTCCAAGGGGTTTTTGGATAACCATGTCAAAAAATCACTAACAGAAATTCTCACTTCCCATTTAAAAAAAAAAAAAAGCGCGCCATCAAACTATGCTCTCACACAGGGTGAAAAAAAAAAAGCCACCACTATAAAAGGGTGTCGCCACAGTCTCCTTTAAACATCATGCCAAAGTCAGCCTGCACAGTCTGGGGAAATACTAACTGCCGCTAGACAGGCGCTCCGGCAAGCCCCTGAGAGGTAAGGACCAGATATTTTACTTTTTCAACAACTTGTTTTGAGTTAAAAGAAAATTGGAGGACGCTCCATCAGTCCGGTCTCTGCACTGGGGAGAGGCAGCTCTCCTGCCCGCCTGTGAGCACGCAGGTGCCTCACTGTTTCTCCTTTTCCTGACAAGCCTGTCCTTTTAAAATGTAGAAAGAGAAAAAATTGAAAGCATAATGAAGGGTCTAAAGCTAAGGGAAAGACTCTTCCATACTCATCTATAAGCATTTCAAACAAAAATTCCGGCAGTGATATTGCTATAGCTCAGCCTCTGGCATTCTACCATTAGGCTCAGGGAAAGCAATAGATCCTGCCAGAAATATCTTTGCCAAATACGAAGGTTTACTTTGTACTTTGGGGTGAACTCACAATTACAAAAAGGGAGTATCAAGTATAAATCAGCAAATAATGCCAGTATTTCAGGAATTTCAGGATACTTTAACATGGAGGGAAAAGTAAAAGTTACTTGAAAATGGAGACTTCCGGCACTTCGGATACTGCATATATACCAAGTTATTGAGCACCATTTAAAATAAGAGATGTTACATTTCACTGTTGGACCACATTATTAATATAAAAGTCTTTTCTATTCTTCTATTATTTCTATGCTTTTATACTTTCTATTCTTTCTCAGGCCAGAAAATACCAGTAATAGAATTCTTGAGGCAGTAATTATTTTTTAGCTATAAATTGTAGTTTTCGGTTTATAAAAATTTTTCCAATTTACCTCCCCCCGCCCCTCTCCCACCCCTGATGGATATTCTGGATTTCACAGATTCTCAGCCAACATGATTATTTTAATTCTGAATGCCAGCTATTAATTTGTTAAGTAAAAAAAAAAAATCTGTTTGCTTTAGACTTACTTGGTGATCAGTAAAGTTGAACACATCTTCATATATACTTTTAGGACTTTGATATGCCTAAAAAATATAACAGAACAAGGCATTCCAGGCAGTGATTTGCCAATATTTGTGTCCAGACTGAGCTGAAGGTGGCGAATTACAAGCTGCGAGGAGACCAGGAAGTGTGCGCTTTCCCTCTCGGGTGAACTGGGCTTCGTGGTCATACCTCTGCTCCACAGAATCCTCACTGTTCCTGCTCACCCATCATGTGTGGTAGCGGTGCTGGTGATTACTTCTAGAAATTACTTTCCACTGGCTTCCAAGTGCTTATCAGTAGCAGGACCAGCCATGTAATGGGACATGTATCAGCTCAGGTGGCTGCCTGATTTTCACGCCTGGGGTACCTTACAGGCATTTCCCAGACGTCTACTGTAGCATGGCTCTGGAACATTTTATCTCTGGGGTGAAAGGCTGCATGAGATAAAATCAGCCACTTCCTTAGGAAGGTTTGCTTTTAGAAAAAGAGCTTACCACCGCATAAAGGGGGCAAGTGGTCCTTTTCTCCCCACTACAGAGAAGGCTCTATGGGGCTGTTCAAAGGGCCTAATGGGGCATGTGCAGAGGCTGGGACGTGTCTGCTGGTCCCTAACCAGTCTCAGCTTCCCGAGAAGTGTGTGAGACATGGGGCCTCCGTGGAAGGCGAGGGAACACATGCCAGAGTCCTCTGAAATTTCTAGAGGTGACCAAGATCCCTGTGGTGTCTGGAAACCACAAAGAGAAGAATAAACATTTTGCTAAATATCTGCAGATACCTAGAGAGTAGTTTAAGCACAAGTTAACACCATAAGACTGTCCCAGGTAGGCATCATCTTCTTTCAACAGAGATTTCAGGCCAAACTGTACTCCAGATGTATTGTTTAAAGTAGCAAAACTGAAATTAATTTATAAAGCCCACTACAAACAAATCCACAAACTCCTGTATTTAAAGCAAACGCATCTCCCGCCCTCCCCCCACCCGTCCGCCAGGCCCCTCCTTTCCCAGACAGGGAAGAGCTGGTACATGTGGATGTGGCGATGTCTGCTGTGTTTGGTTTCTATGAATCACATGAGATCATGTTAGAAACAGGAGCTAGGGACAAACCCTGCAGCACCCAGTGTGGCTTCTGGAGCCACGCTGCCTAGATGGGACCTGACACTTGACCCCGTGCCTACAGGCAGGTCACACAGGTGTCCTGGCCTCAGCATCACCACCAGAAGCTGAGCTGTGGGCGTTGTGAGAGGGGCCAGGGATTGATGTCAGCGGAGTGCCCAGTCTAGTTACTGTTATTAATCACTGTGGTTTACTGACGACCTTGGACTGAGGATCAAGGGAGCTGGGGTCTGCTAGTCCTTAATGGCTATGTACGGAGCACCTATCAGGGGTCAGCTGGAGAGAGAACAAAACTAACATCACACCCTCAGGTCTTCACAGCCCAGTGATGAGCAACACTCAACAACAGACGTGACCGCAGAGACAGAGCCCTAGCAAGCCCCACGCTGCCTTTCTGGGAGAGCTGCTGAGGGAGCAGAAAAGGATACAGTCAGGAAGCTTCCAGCAGCAGCAGATTTTGTAGGAAGGCTTAAGGAAAGCTGGCACTGAGGACAGGGTCAGGAAGGAAGGCTAGACAGAGGCTGAGTGTCAGAAATGCAGATCTGTGGGAGAATAGGACAGCAAGACACGAGTGGCTGAGAATGGCTGCAGCCAAGGCGTGGTGAGCAGGAAGGGGCTAGAAACCCAGATTGGGAGGCAAACAGATCCCCATTACGAGGGACATTGTGTGTCTCCATTTGCCTGGGGTTCTCAGGGCAGTGGCTCAGGGGTCCGCGTGGGGGGCGGCCAGTGTGAGGGCCTGTGTGAGGGGTCATTGAGGGGGCCTATGTGAGGGATCCGTGTGGGGGAGGTCCTATGGGGGAACCGTGGGGTGAGGGGCATCACAAGAGCAGCTGCAGCAGCTCCAGGGGACATTAGGGTGGCTCGGAGACAGGCCGGGGTGTGGGAGCAAGGCAAAGATGGCCAAATGCCTGGTGCACAAGAGGGTCAGGAGGCTGAGGACCCAGAAAGCGCTAACAGGCAGGAGGCAGCTGCTGAGGGGGGGACAGGGCATACTGGACACCTTCATGACACCCGTTCTGAAGGAAGGCTCTTAGCAAAGTCTCTGGAATTCTTTTTATTCATAAAACGAGGTACTGAATGATTCTGATGCATTTCCAGAGATAGTAGACACAAAGTCTAAAACTTGACCCTCCCTTTTCTCTGAGTAGAAAAGGTATGCACTGTTTTTATAAACGTTTCTGGAGATGTCAGACGGTAACGCTGACAGGGACTCAGGCCTTCATGACAAAGCGCCCTTTATATATATCACTCAGTGACCCCCCAACACACACACACACACACACACACACACACACACACACACGTCAAATCATGGATGCAGGGACATAGGGTATCTCTTCCTCACAGTGAAATGAACACGATACCAGGGCTTCTCTTGTCTCCTGTTCCTAAACATTACATCACGTGATTCAAGTCCTTCAAATCACCCCCTCTTGGCCTTCATCTCTGACACATCGCAGACCATGCTCATGCCCACCAGAGCTGCAAAAAGCCACACAAGAACCAATCAGTGAAAGGTATAAGAAAAATAGCGGGAAGATGTAAAACCCCAAGTGTGTAATTAGGTCTCTAACCTTGTAATTCAAGTGTCAGGCACCCTCACTTTCCTGCCCACCCTCCCGCACAAGCTTGCAAAGCTGCAGGGGCCAGGAGGCCACTGAGGGGCAGGGAGGGGCAAACTGGTTTTGCTCTGTCGCAGGAAGCCCAGGGCAAGGTGACTGTCCTGAAAATGTCGCTCTGTGGGGCTATGAGAGGTGCTGAGAGCCTGGCTTTGTCACAGGGTCACAATCCCACAAGCCAGAGCGCACCAGCTCCCCCAGCACGGTGCTTTTCTGAACAGTGTTCCCCACATCCCTTCAGAAAATGACCCCAGACGTGGAGAGATCCATGGGTTCAGGACTTGGAGCTGGCTGGGGAAAACCCCCCCTCAGCGTTGCAGGAAGTTACGGGGTGGGTACTGGCTGGAGTGGACACTCTGTTTTGCCAAGAAGTGACCTGGGGGGTCTCCTTCCCACCAGAGGGACTGCTGTTTCCCACCTGCCTACCAGACCAGCACTGGCACCACGACCCACAGATGATGGCTGTTGAGCCAACCCCAGCAAAGGGGAAGAGGCTTCCTGGTTCAGTGCTGGGCCCTGGCGTGTGTGACACGGGACCAAACTCAAAGGTCCCTGTTTGCTCAGCTTCCACGACAAAGAGGCTTTTTCAAGTCATGACAAATATGAAACTAGGTAACTGGAGGAAGGGACAATGGTTTCTTTTTTTGTGCGGCATCTGTGTCCAGGGGCACCGAGCAGCCCAGCCTGGGGCCTGGGGCCTGCGCACCTGGGCCTGTCTATAGTTCCTCTGCCATTCCAATGAACCCCGGGGTCTTCCTCACTCCCTTCTTTCCCCAGGGTTTCATTTACCCCCACTCCCGGGCTCCCCCATCTTCCCTCTAGTCAAGAAAATAGCCAGAGGACTGCATATCAGCCAGAGAAAGGGCAGATCACCTAACAAAGTACAAACACAGCAGCATCTGCACGCCCACATTTGTCACTCCGCTGGCTGTTTGATAGGTTGCTCCCGGGGCTTCCTCTCTCGCTGTGGGCACTCTGATACCCATCCTCTCAAGGTGTAAACACAGCCTTGAGCAAACCTGACTTCAGAGAAGTAACCTCCTAAGAATTATCATTGCGTCATGACCTGGCCCATCCGACCCATTGCAAAGGTCTTCATTTAAACAAAATGACTTGAAGGTCAAACCCTTTTCATGTAAGATGCTCATGATTATTAAGCATCTGGGTATCAGGGGTAAAGGGAATGTTTTCGAAATCTTAAAGCAAAAACAAACAGCGGGTATTCTAACACTAAATCTTTGAATATAGTGAAGGTTGTATTCTCTTTCTACCAGAGATAAAAGCAAAGAAAATAAATATCCAATGAGGACATTGGGACTGCAGAGGGCAAATATATGTACTCTGGGAAAAAAATCACAAATGCCTCCAGGTAGGTGTCCAGAGTACAAATTACATCGCCACCAGGCAATTTTCCTAAGTAATAATAAAGGAGTATTTAAATAAAGGGGGAGGGGCTTTTCCTTTCTGTGGCTAGAAAGAACTTAACCAGTTCATGTCAACATGTCCGGTTATGCAAAAATGAGAAGACAGTGTCTGAAGAAATGTTATCTACTAGTAATGAAATCAATTCTAGAGAGAACCATACACAGGTCCACTTAAAACCGTAAGTAAACATGCTTGGGAGGCTGTTTTGCTGCAGAAGAGTTTGCTATTTACAGTTAGGATGACGGCAAAGTCACACAGATCTCTATGGCTTTACAGAGACAAAACGGTCCATTCACATTTGGCGCGTTATTCCCCCTTGCCATGTATTTTTTTAAAAAGATTTATTCGTGCATACAAGAACTGGGGTACAGGCCAGAGGTCCCCTTGCCATGTATTTTAAAGACATTTTCCATGAATCTGCTTTGAAATACTCCTCAAAATAAAATACCAAAGAGATTTGCAGAAAAAAAGATTTTTTTCCCCACAGTAGTCAGATACCTAGAGGAAATTCCTGATGCCTATCCCTAAGCTGTAACCCTTGCTTGGAATTTTCATATCTCCCTTGTTCTAATCCAAGTTTTTGAAAGTCATTCCTCACATGGACCCTTTCGCAACACTGAATGACATTTCTTTCTACTTTTATTCCACAATCGTAATTCCCAGATTTGCTTTTCAAAAATGACTCCATTTTTTTCCTTGCACAAAAGAGAAAGTCCATATTTGTTAGTTTTTTGTTTTGTTTTCCATTTCATTAATTTCTGCAATTATTTTTTATCATTTCCTTCTACTTTCTTTGGGCAAAACTCAGTTCTTTTTTAGCTTCTGAAGCTGTATGAATCTCTTTATTTTCCATTTTTTTCCTTTTTTAAAAAAGTCAAGGTGGTCAATCCAGGCTGTGCCTCTGCCTGGGACACACTCAGGCTGCACCCAGCTCTTGCATGTAGCACTGTTGTCATTTAGTTCCCAGGACTTCAAAATTTGCACTGTTATTTCTTAACAATAAATTCCCTATAAGTATGTTTTTAGATTGTAAACTTATCCTTTATCCTTTTATTGTTGATGTGATCTGCTATGATGATCTTCTGAAAGTTCTGAGGTATCTCTGAAGACCTTGTATGTGGTCAAATTTGCAAATAACTTTGTGTTTTCAGCACAATTTTTTACGTCAAGTTGGGTCAATCTTCTAAGCCTTCAATCTCTTTTTTATCTTGCTGACTCTAATAAAATGTGTTTAAAATCTCCCATTACGGTTGTGTATGCGCCAATTTCACCTTTAAACTCTGTCAAAGTTTGCTATGACTAGTCAATTCATGATTATTTTTATTTGTGGCTTTTTCTTTTTAACTTTTGTAGTGACCTCTTTATCCCTATGAATAGCAAATGTGCCTTGAATTCTGCCTTTTCTGGTGTCAACTGTGCTACCCTGGCCTTCCACGGCCGGGATCTGCCTGCTCTGCGGTTTCCTCACCTTTATTTTCAACCTTCCCAAATCACAGCAGTTACGATTCTTGAAGCCTCATGGAGCTGAGATTTTTGAAAACCCAAACTGACAATCTCTGTCTTTTAACAGACAAGTTCAACCTTTAGTAATCTGTTGTGACATGTTTCTATCCTCTTATTTTGTGTTTTCTATTTATCATCCTCATTCTATGCTTTTTTTCTCAGAGCCTCTTTTCCTGTCTTCTACTAAAAAGTTTTACTTCCATTTTTGGTCCCTCATGCTTTAAGCTGTATTGCCTTATTTTAACACCTAGCCTGTCAACGCTGAATGTGTGTATGTAATGCACATCTGTAACACCTTTGCCACCCCCAGACAACCCACACTGTCTGTTAGCACCCCTGCCTTAAGACTGTCAGAACTAAGTTAGGGGAGGCCCACCTCAGTGCGGCGGCTACAGATGTCCATGTGCAGCTGTGCTTGGACACAGCGAGGCCGGAGTCTTCCTCCTTCAGGATAGAGCAGCAGCAGCACCAGCTAGATTGAAATTTTCTCTTCAGTTTAGTGACTTTCAGATGAGGTTTGCATACCAAGACGGTCTTAGAAAATTATTTTTCTTCTAAACATACCCTCACAGAACTTATTGCTCTGTTCTTTGTCAGTTTTATCAAAGTTCACCCTCATATTTGGATTCCTGTAGCAGGAATTTTTCACTTTTCAACCCATGACTTGAAATTTTATGCTAACATGATTTATATCAAGAAAAGAACTAGAAATGATCCAAAGATTCATCCAGGGAGCAGCTAAGCAATTCCGCATTCCCACTGGAGCGCCTACTAGAGGTCTATGCCAGACCTGCTGCCTAACCCATCACCAGCTCTGCGCCGCTGTGTGTGGGCCGTGCCAGGGGGTGTGGGGGCTGTGGGCTTCCACCACACAGACATCAGCGATTATGCTGTGCTCCTGGAACTACTGTAAGGTCACGTCAGTTATGCCTCAAGGCAAAGATCTTCATGTGACACACACCGGCCACACCGATCCATGAAGACGTCAAGGGAGTGAAGTGGAACATAAACCCACCCTCGCAACGCTCACCACCATGAGCAAATGCCAGGGGTGTGTGCAGCAGGCATTAGTGGAGCACCTGGGGGGAAGATACAGGTCAAAATTAATTTAAAATTTTCCTCTTGGAAGCAGCTGAGAGTTTTCTTTCTCCTTCTCTATTCTCATTTGTGCGAGGGTTGTCGTAGTCATTGTCTTCTTCTTTTCTAAAGACCCAACTTTTAGTTCCTAACAAGGCCAAAACATGTTTCTTATACTCTAGGTTAACACAAATCAGATCAGTGTGGTAAGTTCACATTTCAATACATAAATGTGTGACTGATTTCATTTCCTGGCAGTGATATGCATTCGGCTAAAAAAAAAAAAAAAGAGGCGCCCAACTGAATTTCAATGAAAAAGCAATTTTATGCCTGTCTGAAATGTGTGTGGAGGGGGTTCTCGACCTGACTTTATCTTAACCAGACAATGATTCAGAAAAAGAAAGGGGCTGTGTCTGCCTACAGGATTAACACCTTCCCTCCAGTCACAAAAACGCATCTGGCCTCATGAGGTGGTTCTAGTTCCTTTGCCAAAGTTTTGCCTAAATCATCAAATTGTGTGAACAAAGACATAATGTCTATTCTCTGTTCTTCCTGTTATATTTAAGTCATGTCCCACACATGATACTTTTAAAAGCTATATTCATTTTGAAATTAAAAAATGAGACCTAAAAAAGGCAGTTCCTATTGCTTTTAGCTAGAGATGCTTTCAATTAAAAAAACACCCTTCTTGGCTTTTTCTAGAGACCCTGTACGCTGCTGAGGGACATAAAGATGGACGACAATCTCACTACATTCTCTCCGGCCCCTCCAGGCAGCAACTGTGACCTCTACGAGCACCGCAGCACAGCCAGGGTGCTGATGCCCCTGCACTACAGCATTGTCTTCGTGGTTGGGCTCGTGGGGAACATGTTAGCTTTGGTTGTCATCTTCCAAAACAGGAAAAAGATCAACTCTACCACCCTATATTCAACAAACCTGGTGATTTCTGACATACTGTTTACCACCGCCTTGCCGACACGCATAGCCTACTACGCACTGGGCTTCGACTGGAAACTGGGCGAGGCTCTGTGTAGGGTAACTGCTCTCCTGTTCTACATCAATACGTATGCGGGTGTGAACTTCATGACCTGCCTGAGCATCGACCGCTTCTTTGCAGTGGTGCACCCTCTGCGGTACAACAAGATAAAAAGAATTGAACATGCAAAATGCATTTGCATTATTGTATGGATTCTTGTATTTGCTCAAACCCTCCCACTACTGATAAAACCTATGTCGAAGCTGGAGGAGGAAAGGACTACATGCATGGAATATCCAAACTTTGAAGAAACAAAAGGGCTTCCCTGGATTCTGCTTGGTGCCTGTTTCATTGGGTACGTGCTACCGCTCATCATCATTCTCATCTGCTATTCACAAATCTGCTGCAAACTCTTTAAAACTGCCAAACAAAACCCGCTAACTGAGAAATCTGGTGTAAACAAAAAGGCTCTCAACACGATTGTTTTGATCATTGTGGTGTTTGTCCTCTGTTTCACCCCTTACCATATGGCAATCATTCAACACATGATAAAGAAGCTTATTTTTCCTGATGTCCTGGAGTGCAGCCAAAGACAGTCATTCCAGATTTCTCTGCATGTCACAGTATGCCTGATGAACTTCAACTGCTGCATGGACCCCTTTATATACTTCTTTGCATGCAAAGGGTACAAGAGAAAGGTGATGAAGATGCTGAAACGTCAAGTCAGCGTGTCAATTTCCAGTGCCGTAAAGTCAGTCCCTGAAGAAAACTCTCGGGAAATGACAGAAACTCAAATGATGATACATAACAAGTCTTTAAACGGAAAGTAAAAAGCGAACTTTTGGATCTATAGCCAAAGAAATTGTATGAGCCACTTTGCAGGATCTTTTACAAGGCGAAATGATTGTCCAACTTCCAAGTTGGAGTCTTTTAAATTCTTTTCATGGGGCACGTTCTCATCGCTAACTTGGATGTAAAGTGACAAGTATGTATTTTTTACACTCTAGGACAGCAAAAAGCAAAGTTCTAATTTGTAAAGAGCCACCAAAAGGGTGGTTAAATAACTCAGTGCAGAAAGAAAAGGTTTGTGTTGCTGAAAAATTTAATCATTACAATTTCCTGCCAGTGAGTCGGCAAGAGAAAAGACTGATAAGATTGTATATTACCAGTGTAAAAATGTTAATACTGTAACATAGTTGCGGGGTTTTTTTTTGGGGGGGTAATGTATTTCTTCAATCTATGTTTCTTTTACTCTTAGACTTTATCTCCTCAACACCAGCTTGTTTTATTTTGTTCTGAGTCATCAAATTTTGTTTCAAGCAACTCTTTGAATAAAGAGCAGGATGCTACAAAATTCTGAGTATGTCCCTGAATGTTCACTGTCAACTAGCAGCAGAAGTTACAGGAGAATATAATTAGCACGTGGATTTGGAGAGCAACGTTGTAATGGGTGGTGTGATGGAGGCAGCATGAGCTCCCCCCAGACAGCCGGCAAAGAACTTAAAGGCCTCTGTCAGGGGCATGGCTGGGTTGCAGGTGGGGGTACCCACCGGGAGGAGGGTCGGCTTGCTTACTTCTTCTTGGGAATAAAAAATATGCAAACATGCTCGGTTTTTCTTGGGTTTCTAGAGAATCCTTTCTTTTTTACTCAGGTCAGAAGTACCATGCATCCGTTTCACTAGTCGGGTTACCAGAAAGAGCGGGGAGGAGAGGGCAGGGGGTGCAGTCGCTGCTCAGCTGCGTGAGATCAGGAGTCAAATGCAAACTCACACACTCAGAGTCCCCAGGATTCTTGACGGCATTGCATAGGCACTCAAAGGATGGCTGCAGTATGAGTAACATGACCTTTGAAGTACAGTCACCCTGTTTGCCAGCTCAAACTTGTTTTACTGTCCCCCAAGCCAGCCCAATACAGTATCTATATTATTGGCACAGACACCAATTTTGACAATGGAACATAAAAAAATAAAATGCTATCTCACAAGTCACACTTCACGTGTTTATTAGGCTTATCCCCAAGATATATTTTCTTATAAATTCCTATTTTCTACTTGACTTCTTGGTTCCACACCATTTACTGAGTTCTTCATATCTGTATCACATCAATTTCACAAAGTACCACTTGGCCTTAAAGCCTAGGACAGAAACACGCGTGGGCCTCAGAACCCCCGATGGAGACAGGTCTGGCCACGTGGCTGATGTCAGTCTTAGGTCATTCCTCACGCCACCAACCAACCTTCCCAAGTGAAGAAGGAAGGACGGGATACTCACGATTATCTGGGGCACCTAGAGAGAAATCCCTGTGGAAGCGCTGAGGGGAGCCTCTGTGCTGCGGGGTTGGCGCTGAGGCAAGGAAGCAAACACAGCTGTCATCACTCGACAAAGGACTATCACATCTTCTATTCTTGAGTTTTCCCCTCCTCCCTCTGCTGTGCCACAAATCTATAAGCATGATTTGACTCAACCATCAGCAGCCGAACTGCCAAAAGGGTAAACTTTAAACCTCCCACCAAAGGTAAAAAGGTCTGTACTCCAGGCACACTTGTCTCCAGCCTTCCTGCCTCTCTCACAGGCCACTGGCCACTGGCCACGTCCCATTACTGGTTTACACCTGATTCCCACGTCCTCTCAGGAGTGGGGAAGGCTGGAGACGAAGGCCACATACTTCTCTGCTCTCCTGCGGCACGAAGGAGGCGGCCTGAACCTAACACAGCGGGAGTCAACCCCTGATAAGTATTTTCTACATGGGTCAGGGGATATGTTGCCAATTTTACCTGATAACAGGGAGCTAGAAAAAAACCCCACAAAACTGGTAGTTACAAGGCAATGGATCTCTTTCATCATTTTATTTTTATTTCCAAAAGAATCGTTTGGCTAATAAAAAGGAAAGACAACCCATGAACCTCCAAGCTATTGCGATGGACTTGATACGGAAGCATCACACACCCGTGATGGCGCGGAGAGGACACAACAGCAAATGCCGGGCCTCAGCCATGACGACAGGTCTCTGAGGGACTCGGCGGTTTACAAGATGGCCCATACTCATGGCCTGTCTCCCTGGCCCCATCCTGTCAAACAGGACGAACAGACCGTATTGCCCACATTTTATAAAGAAACTTAAGTTCAGAAAAGGCATCGGGAAGGGAACCTGATGCCACAGCCTGGCCAGAAAGGACAAGAGAGTCACAGCAGGGAAATTATCAGCGGGCTGACGCGTCTCATGCCAAGCCGGGAGACCAGGAGACCAGCTAAACCTCAAGCAGGGCAGGTAAGGAGGCTGTAAGCTCAGCCAGGGTGCGAGCTGACCAGGCGTCATCTGCTCTACACACAACACCTGTTACGGAGCATGGCCCACGGAAGGTTCTCCGAAGTCACCTAATTGAACAGCAGCTGTTCATACTATTACTAACAAAATTCTAAAGCCTGCTGAGACATCTGTGACGTTCTTAATTCTTCAATGAAATGAAAAGAAGCACCCCAAGTGCTCAACGACCTAGGCTGGGCCTGTCGCAACTGAAGACTGTTGCCCTCCACGGCCCTGCCATCTAAACCTGAGGCACCGACGCGCAGCGCTCATTACCCAAAAGCCCATTTCAATCTAGAATCAGAAAAATGTTCTACTTGGAGATCATTTATATGTCAAGAGGCGGGAGTAGTGACTTCTACCTAAATCAATAAAAAGTACCAGACAATTTTTAAAAGGGGAAGCACAGATCTTAAATTAGCCCACAAAATGGTCTATTTTGGTCACTTTTTAGGCCACTGTAATCTGCTATTCTCCGCGAAGCTGAGAACAGTGCTGTGACTACTCAGGTGAGGAGATGGAAAGCCCGAGGGTGAGAAGTGGCCGAGGGCCAAGACGGCCCCTTCTGAGTGCAGGGACCGAGTGATCACGAGAGCTGCCATCGTCACACTCTGAAAAGGGGGTCACTGGAAAGCTACCCCCACGTATCTATTCAGCTGACAGCTCCATCTGCTCACTGCTCTCCCAGCACTTGACAGGCATCACCTCATCTGGTCTTATCACCTGAAGAGACGAGTCCAACTTCATTTCCATTTTGTGATAGGGAACTGGCGGGACAGCCACATGGACAGGTGGAGCCGGGAATTAATCCAGCCCACCTGACCCGGGGGGCCTTGCCTCCCCTCCTGCAGCCTCGTGAGACCATCGCACACCAGGACTTCAGTCCATCCTCCCCCAGGGGCCTCTCGCTTCTCCGAACACTTACTTGACTGTCACCTGCACCACCTGCCTCTCACCCTCAGGGCTGAGCCAGGCAATCCTTCTGGGGTTCTCTTGCCTTCCTCTCTCTTGCGCCCATATTTACTTGCCAATATCATCATCCTCGTCCAGGTACTGGCATCACCATCCAAGGTACTACGACTTCTGTCCCACCGGCCCCTCAACTAGCATCAGAAACCTTAGCCTTCTTTTCTGATGCTATAATGGAAGGAAATTCAAGCAGACTAAATTAGTAAGAGTAATGTCCATCGTGCTACTAATTCCATGGCAGAGGGCACTAAGCGCTGTGTATAAAAGCTCATTCATGAATTATGCTCAGTGAAATAAAACCACAAGGAAAAAGAAAAATATGGATGGTTTCACTTATAGCAGGAACACAGGGGAACCAAATAGGACATCAGTGTAAAAAAAATAAGAGTACAAAACACAACAAAGCAAACACAGACAATTATAATCCAGAGACATCCTGCAGGGGAGGAGGAGGGAGAGGGATCAGAGGGAGGGTGGAGCACAGGGGATTGAGGTGATGGTGCATGGGCGCCTTGGGGAAGGACATTCTATGGGGACTACACCTGAGGGGGTGGGGGGAAGCAAATATTGTTTAAAAATGAGCAACAATGTAAAAAAAATTCAAAAATTAATAAATAAAAGCTCATTCAAGCCTATGATAATTCTGAGGTTTATCTCACTACAGCATCTGTGGTACAGATGAGGAGTAACGCCCCAGAGAGGTAGAGTGACTTGCCTGAAGTCACACAGCTAGTGAGTGGGGGAAGCCAGGCTCTTCACTATGGCAGTCTGGCTCCAAGGTCTGCACTCTTAGTCATTATTTCTCTTAAGAAAGTAGAAAATGTGTCTTAAGTACTGCAGAACCTCGGAGGAGACCTTTACTGCTTCCTCAATAGCCTCAAGTTTCTGTGAAGCACATGTGACCATATCTGGCCAACGGTTTGGGGTAAAAGTGATACATGTCACTCCAGGCTAAGGCATTAAGAAAGCAGTAAGGAATATTCCATCCCACTGTTCTCTCCTGCATAGCCCCTGTGACTTTCTAGATGGTGGGACCCTTGTCAGTCTGGGGGTGAGAAAATGGAGAACTCCCCACTGCTGCACCCCACCCATCTTTGTGGCCAAATAGAGCAAACACATGCATTCTGTCACTGAGATTTCTGGGTTAATTTGTGGCTGCAACATAAACTAGCCTGTTCTGATTCATATAGTGTTTAACCTACTTAGAATGAAATGGACCATCCAGAGAGTGTAAGCAAAGACACACGCAGACACTATCCAGTCCTCCGAGCAAACACAGATAATCCTCCTGAATGCCACTGTCATTGTGCCATTTCATGTTCAAAGACTGAGAAGAGCCTCCTGAGTGCCCACGCTTTCAAGCCCCTCCTGCCCAACCTTACTCGATTGTCCTTTTAAGTTTATTGAGTTGGTTCTCTCTGTCCCATGAGTACACAAATATTTGGTTCTCACTGACTGGCTTATTTTGCTTCCTTTACTTATTCTTTCACCTACACCCCAACTGTGCCTCCTCCTTGAAATCTTCTTTGACTACTCAAGGCCACCCAGCTTCCTTCCCTCAATTTATCTAGTTTTTATAGTCAGTGCCACATAGTCTGAACTTCAGACATAGATATTATCTTATAACAAAGGAAGAGAAGAAACACTGTTCTGGCAACCTGTGGCCTAGGGAGGGAGGGAGGAGCACAGGGGACTGAGGTGATGGTGCACAGGTGCACTGGGGAAGGAAATTCCATGGGTTTAGAATGTTTGACTGTTAATCAGCCACATTGCTTCTGTTCAGTCTTTGTTTTTCTAGATTTCAGTTTTCTTATCAATGAAATATGAGTGTTAGATAATACACAAGCTTTCTTCCAACCATCATACATCTATGGTCTACTATTCCAAGCATACTATTCTCTTATCCCTCAATTGAATCATAAGCTCCACAGGGCAGAGACATTGACTTCCATCCCTTCCTATTCTGCAGGGCTCCAGAGCACAGAATCTAGCACAAAGATAATGCTCCACAAATAAATGTTGACACCAGGTCATCAAACAGTAGCTACGCACTATGTGATCTGTACTGTTAAAGTATGATGGATTTAGAGGTTTTATTATTGCATGTTATAATTTGTTAGGAAGCAAAAATTAACTAATAAAGACTTAGCACTGGAATATT